CGCCGCTCGAACCTTCCTAACTTGCTGAATCCTTTGCAGATGTTCGGTTCCACCGCGCTGGCGGGCATTCTCATCCGGGAGATCAAGATTGCCCACACGAAGGTGATGTTCACAGTCTGATTTGGTGTCGTGCGGCATGCGATGAATTGTGAGGGCTAACATCGATCACCCTTTCCCCCTTCATTTGAAAGAAGGACCCGACTGCTCCAAGGCAAGTACACCAGTCACACACTCCATTCAACTATTCTTCGTTTAGTCCAGGCACCTCCAATCCCTATAAAACTAAAACCCCAATGTGGTATCGGGTTGGGAAATATTTGCTCGTGAATGCCACAACAACACCGGGTGTACCTAGATTGTTGACGGCAGCAATCGCGAGGAGGACAGGCACGACAAGCCTCCTAATTGAAGACGAAAGACATTTATCCATGGATTGTTTTACACGTCCTACGTCGGGAATTAGATGGGAAAATACCGTAATGAAACGTGAGAACGCACGGGGGTGCGATTGATTATGTCATGGGGCTTGTTCTTGACTGTTTATCGTACCCCCGTTCGATATCACCGGTACGTGCGATATCATGCGATAATCGATTTTAATTATTTGATCTTGGTTTTTCACCGCACGGGAAGTCGGTCGCTGTTGTTGATTACAAATGGTTGAATAAAGGAATGAATAACGTGAGAGTAACCAATGACAGTCTCTTCTTACTCCTTGTTTTTGTCATATTTCCAATGTTTCAATATGTGGTGCGCGATGCCGCCGTACAGTACATCGTTCACGATACCGCGAAGTACCTCCTGCGCAGCAGCGAGTGCCCCGGAGCCACCCGGTGCTTGGTATCGATGATATCGCACCCCCGTGCGATATCACCGAACGCCGTGCGATGATCGAATTGCATCACTTGGTTGTTGGGTTTTTGGTCGCACGGGGGGTACGATAGCTTGCGATATCACCGGTGCGTGCGATATCACCGAATTGTGCGTCCTCTCGCATCCTTAAGCCCGTATTGCATGATTGTTGGCGGCAAGTCCAACGTCGTATACAAAGCACTGGGTGGTCACATGTTTTCTGATGAGTCCATCAACTGCGGCGATCTGTTGTTCTTATCGGTAGTATCGTTTCGGCTGGCTGTCTCTCCGGTACCTCAACAGGCACCACAGGTCTGGCACGCGAAAGCAAGGATACGAATTCAACGACAGGCGGGCGTTCTGGTGGCGGCATGCAGCCTCTGCGTCGCAGCTATGGTGGTGCTAGAGCTGAGGGACGCAGGCCGGAGCACCCCTATCATCCCGTACACGGTGTTTGTAAGTTATCAATATCAAGATCAACACCCACGTTTGCGTTCAACGCAATTATCGCGAGTGATGCCCCCTCTGGACAACGCCATTTGGAATGCATTTGTCGCAAATGTGATTGCTAAGACAACCCAAAATACGTATGAGCAAGTATTCAAACACCCGCCGGAAAAGCAACCTTTCATCACCAACTAGGCGCTTCCCACCGACTGGTTCAATCAATTTGCCGCGCAAGGTCAATGCCTAGTTTACTCTTGTTCCTGCAACACAATCTGGTTAAGTCAGCTGACGAATTCCACCCGCCCTTGAATGAACCATGGTGCCATCAACATCAGTGTCGCCGTCATATACCAATATCGAGAGCTGAGTCGAATAAAAACTTCGCACGGTTCCAACGAACGGTGCTGAACACCACCCTGCAAGGTCACACGATGATTTGATGTGGGGTGTTCCTGTCAAACACTGACGAACACATCCTACCCGATCATCAGGATTCCCACATTATACGATAGCCACTCCCTCGCCTCTAGGGATTGGGATATTCTGAACCCTCCAAGCCTTCGTCATCACGGTACCGTTCATGACGCTGGGTGCTTTCGCTTGCCACTCTCGGGGCAAACAGAAACCATTATTGTATGATAGGAGTGTTTTCCTACTGCAGTAGGTTGGCCGCGGGTGGCTGTCATGGATTCATTGACACACACCCACATTTCACACATTGATGCGCAATGATCCTGTCGTTTCAGCTTCCTGGTGTAGGCGATGGAAACGAAAGAAGTCAGAACCAAATATTTCACCATAGTTGGACGGACCCATAGCGATATAGGTTTGCGAGTATGTTTGACCCGCGCTTCCCCTCTGAAGTTGGCACGAACCATGATGCACACGCTTTTCAGATGTTGCTGGGAACAGTGGGTTTAGGTACGACGGTTCACTTGACGAAGCCAGCTGGGGCGAGGGCACCACCATCTGCACGACGATTCCTGGGACAGTCATCAGCCGTGGGCTACCCAGCTGTTTCATCTTTAACATCGATGGCGAAATCATTCCTATCCCCGAGAGGGACCAAGGCATTTGAAGAGAAAAGTGACGACGAAAGGCAGTGCGTTAAGAAAGAGGCTAACCCTATTGCCGTCGGATCAAATAGAGGAGCCCTGACCATGAAGGTGATCCCGATGGCGTCAGAGCTATTAGAATGATGAATCGGTGACGTGTGTGCACAGGCTCATACATGTAGAGTGACTGGATATTGTCCACGTAGTATACTTGAATAGGAGGATGACGAGCCTGCTTCAATTGGCGCTTGTGTGCGCGGCCAAGACAAGGAATGGATGTGAATGGACATCTAGCCACAGGCTGAAGGACCCCGAGGACCCTGAAGGAAACCCCACGAGCCGTGAGGAGTCCTCGATATAAATAGTACTGCAGGAGAGTCCGGTGAGAGAAAGACAAGGTGTCGGCGGGCACCACCGGGACGAGCCATCATCTTGACATCTGGGCGTGCACACGTGGAATGAATGTGCCGTATCGATCGTGGCATACAGCGGACGATCCGACCTTGAGGAAAGCTACAGGAGTGCACGTTCTTCGTATGGTGCAGTCGGACATGTGAACGACCCGACCACGTAAAGGAGGTATGGGGTTCATCTTTCAATTTCTTCCCACAACTTGGAAGCAGTCCGGTCGTCTGCCACTAGGCCCCGGCGGTAGCCCTCTCTATCTGACTACAGCAAATGTACTCCGTCGGGGCTTAAAAGTGATACCATGTTGGTATCAGCTTAGCTTCCGCCGAACGGCGCTACTCAGGTATCTGTGATGGCCTTCTCATTCACCCCACCCTTCCTTATTGATTGGGGGGTTGTTACGCCTTGTACAGAGAACGCTGGCACGCCCACCCCAGAAGCACGACGCCAAATGGGTTCTTGGGCAGCTGTGCGTCCGCGGCCTCTTCCCCACAACCACCACTTCCTCGTCCAACGGAAGTTCACTTGCTTTAACCCCTTGCCACCTTTCCAAATCTTGCATCACTCTGACCCGCCAAGCGACTCGCCTCCCATCAAGCGATCCCTTTTCATAATCCACCTTGATATCTTTTAGCCCCTCCGTCGTGGCTTGTGCGTCGCGCCTGGGAGTGTTGGCTCCCCCGAAGTGGTGAATCGCCCGGGCATCGTCTGGTCCGTCCAGGTTCGAGTCCGGCCGATACATCTCCGTCTTGCCGATTAGTTACGTGTTCCTTCGCATGCGGTATGGTGACCGTGTCTAGCGTCCCCAATGAAGAAGATATGGTGGTCACATTTACCAGGCTTTGTAACAGCAGCAGCGGGCCCAGGGGCATTGCAACGCACCCTGCGCACCACGTCAAGTCGCATGGTCGAAGCTGCTGTGTGTGGAACCTCTGCAGGCAACACACTACTACAAACGGTACCGCCAACCCAATCCACCAGACACATATCAGAAAAAATGTATTGTTGTTATGTAGGTAGGAACAATGACAATCCAGAGAGGCAGCCATAGCACAAATGAAGCCACTAAAGCCCGACGCTAGTTAACATTGCGCTGTCACTACTTGTCCTGCAGTTTACCTCAGGCGCGAATGATATTCCAGTCTTCGTGGGGGGTCGTGCCTATGAAATCATCAGCACCGCTATCTCCGCCCCACCTCACATACATTCTCTTGTGATGATACTGAATTCAGTCGCGAATCGATTGCCACCCATGTCTGTGTGATCGCATCAGCAGAGATTGTTCTGCGCGCGGCAAACAGAAAGACTTTCTACACAAGGCCCACTTTACCAAGGCCAACAACGAGGTTCCGCCGGAGACACGGCAGATAGACTAGTCTAGAGTGTGAATGCAGTGTTCGCGAAATTAAACCATTTTCCAATCGAAATTGCAACAAACGAACTCTTCGATGCGGGAATCGAACCCAAGCTTCTAGCCAACGGGGTTGTACGTAGCCCAATCGAGGGAGATCACAGACCTGCCCACGAACCACAACGGCGCCTCTCAATATCAACTTGTTTCGCGTCGACGTTCCCCTACAAAGATACAAGGTTGTGCAAAGGCTATGCATAGATAGATAGGTTGTCCATCGGAAGCACTCGACAATGCCGGCCAATGAGCGGTTGGTTGGTGATTGTTTGGCTACAGGTATAGATAGTGAGTTTGCGGTCGTTTTCACTTCCCACGACTACTAGTAGAACACAAACAATAGATCCACTCCACCTCCAGCACGTGTCTGTCTTCGCCGCATGTATCTTAATGCGTAAACAGCAGCAGGTAAGAAGCTATGGTCTAGTCGACATAGATATATAGGGATGCCGGAGAACCCGGCGCACATCTCCGCCAGAAGGAACAACAACTAACTGCATGCAGCTGTCCAGCTGTTCAGCAGAAGACGGCACAGACAGCAGTATAGTTAGTTGGTCAGCTGTATACCTGCGCACCGCGCACAGCAATGTTACCCATCTTATTCTCTTCACGGTGGATAGGCACAAAGGAAGCAACAGACCGCATTGCGGGTGCATGTCTGCCTAACGGTTGTCGTCGGCTGTGTCGCACGCCGGCGTCTCGCTCTTCTTCCAGGATTCTCACGGGTTTGGGGACGCAAGTGGAGTTTGTTCCGCGAAGTGGCTGTAATACAACAGCAGCTCTGGAGTTGCAGCCCCCACAGGTTGTGTGCCTTCGTCTGGCCTCCCACTCTAGCCCAGCCGGTAGCGGTAGCGGACGAGACGGACTGCTTGTCCCAACTGCCGGGGAGGGACAGATGGAGGGTATCCCCGGGAGTTGCGCAGCTGATTTCTGGTTCGCGGTCCTGACCGACTGACCGACGACCGACGACGGACTGATGACCGACAGACATGCGTGCGGCGCATCCTGTTGCGGTTCGTGAACTTGTGGCTATTCCGGTTTGACTGGTCATGCCTCTGGTGAATGGTGAATGGGTACAAGCTGGGCCAGCCAAGACGCCTACAAAATGGTTGAAAACGATTTACATCACGATTTTTACGAGTTAGAATCTGAAATTTTGACACGTGGTCGGTGTTAGTGAAACGAAGACCTTGACTGGCCGTACTTTTTTTTTTTTTTTCACGAGGTAGCCCTATTAAAGGGAAAAT